AGCGGTGGGCCTGGGCGACCCCGCCTCCCCCTCCCCCGCCCCTTGCCGCCACCCGTGCCTTTGGGCCCCAAGAGAGCACCCCAAAAGCCCCGCGGCCTCCCCTGGGCACGGGAGGCCGAGCACCCGTGTTGTTCCCAATGCCCCGGGATGGGTGCGGGGGGTCCCCTCTTGCAGCCCTGCTGGGAGCGACCCCCTCTTCCCTCCACCCGGGGTTGCACCTGCCGGGTTGTTTCCATCTCCCTCTCCTGTTTTTCCGCAGACATCATCATCACCGAGCAGCCAGTCTCCGTCTCCGTCCCCGTGGGATACTCCTTCACCCTGCGGTGCAAAGCCGAGGGACGCACGTCCCTGCGGTACCAGTGGTTTTGCCAGCAGCGGGTAAGGCTGGGAGCGGAGGGGGGCCTGGGGACGGCACCAGGCCGGGTCCCTGCCCGCAGGGATGGAGCTGACCCTCTGCAGGCAGACCTGGCAGGAGCCAGGAGGCTGGAAGGAGAGGGGGATAGGATGTGCTGTGCACGCCGAGGGCTCCTGGCCATGCTGGGATGGGGCCTGCAATGGAAAAGCTGCTTCTCCTGCATCCCTGCAGATGGAGGAGGGGTAGAAACCAGGGATTTCCACTATTCCTGCTCTTATGAGGGGCTGGGTGGTGCCTTCTCCTACCAGCGATGAGGGGGGACTTGCTGCTCACCGCCTGTTTTTTCCCTTTAGTCTGTCTGCCGCCAGATTCCTGGTGCCACCAAGCAAGAATTGCCCATCACTGCACAGCAGACCCAACTCTACACTTGCAGAATCAATGACCTCTACAGAAATGTCGTCTTCTCTGACTGGGTGAAGGTGGAGGTCCATCAGTGTGTCGCCAGAGGTACGAGCGTGTCTTCTAGCTTTTCTATATTTTATGCTTTGCCCACCCTTGTGACCATGATCCTGTGCAGTTCCCAGGGCAGTGTGTCCTCCCAGCTCGAAAATCCCGATACAAAAGGATTGCTCCAGCAACGTGAGCCTGCAAGTCTAAGCCAGACCTCTGTGTCCATCCTCTGGATGGTTCAGGTCTCTGTCACAGTCCCAGTAACCCTGGCTGTGTGTGCCTGCTCCTCCTGCTGATCACTTGCCGTGTGGTTCCCAGAGTTATACTGTTTGCGTCAGGCAGAGGGACTGGACGAGGCCATCTGGCTATTTCAAACCTGGGCAAAACACCTCCGGGTGTGGCTGACCTCAAGCAGGTTGACTGTGCCCTTGGCGGGAAAGGGCAAGCGTCAGGTTCGAGAAGGCAGAGGTTGGGCTTTGGCATGTCATTTACTATTGCGGGTGTTGCTCTCAAGGATTGCCTGCTTTCGGAGCAGAAAGGTGCAGCAGTGTGGGTGGAAAAAGCTCACTTTTCTGGCAATACGCATCGAGTTCTATACAGGGGGGGGGGGAGGGAAATCACTGTTGTTTTCTTCCCTTGCGGAGGGAGGACCAATTCTGTGTCGCTGCTTCACAGGACTGCCCCCTCAGCTCTGGCGAGGAGAACCGGTCATTGTCCTTAACCCCACCGAGCAGAGGGTGGAGGTGGGGAAGCCGCTACAGCTGCAGTGTGCTGCCATGGGGTTCCCAGCCCCCAGCTACCAGTGGTACCGGAATGGGAACCCGCTGGAACAACAGAAGAAAAAAAAACTCTGGGTAACATTGCCTTGCAATAGTTCAGAAACTTTGGCTGCTGAGGTGGGTGATGAGGGAAGCTCGTTGCTGGATGGTGGGCATGGGAGAACCTCAGAAGCCTTGGAGAGACTGCTGAAAATTGTGTTATTGTCTATGTGGACGTGACAGGTGGCAGTCCTTAAGCCTGGCTCATATCTGCGTGTCAGGGCTCAGGCATGCTTTGGTCTGTGTGATCAGGTGAATGACAGCAGAAAGCAGTCTCTCCTTGCCTGTCCTCTCCATCTCTCCAGCCCTTGAGAGGCAGCCTCACGCTCCGCTATCTTTCCCTGCTGCGTTGCGGGGTTGTGCGAAAGCACTCCACGTATCACCCCTATTGCTTTGATAGCCGACTGAAGGACTCTGGGTGAAGAGGGAATATGTTTTATGGGCTTCTTTCAAAGCTGTGGATGTTGCTCTAAGAAGTAACCAATTCATAGATGCATCAAGGGCTCTCAGCACGTCTCTCGTGCCTTTTTGCAGCAGTGGCACAAGAACAGCTATTGTATGTCTGTGCGGGGGACTGCAGAGTGATGGAGCTGCGGGAGTGCTGTCTGCCTGCAGGAGAGCGAGAAGGAAAAGCGGTTAGTCCCGACAGAAAAGAGTCAGGGAGACAGCGGAAGGTCTGGATTTATTTTGGGTCACTGCCTGAATGTAAATCAGTGCTGTCTTCCTGATGCAAGAAAGGCAGATTTCCTTCTGGGGCATCACGTGAAGGGTAATGAAGACAGATCCAATCTCTTCTCGGTAGTGGTAGGTGATGCTATAGGGGACAGTGGCCTCAGATTGCATTTTTCACGGGGAAGTTCTGGCTGTGGATTAGGAAGACGTCCTTCATTTAGAGTTGGGTGGTGCTGCACTGGAGTCAGAAAGGCAGAGAGAGATCTCTGTCTTTGGAGTTTTTCAGTATTTGACCAGACAAAGCCATGGCCAACCTGCCCCAGTGGTGGCTCTGAGCAAGATCCTGGGCTGGAGAACCACAGAGGTCCTCGCCAGCCAGTACTGTTCTGATTCTTGTCCCATGTTAAGAAAGATGGATAAGACCTGAAAACTTGCCAGAAGAGAGCAATGGGCATGATGAGAAATCTAGCAAATTTCACCTAAGAGGAAAAAAAAGGTAACATTCTGATGTTGGCCCTGCACTGTCCACCCAGTGTGGCTCCTGGAGCAGAGGATGGCTTTGACACAGGGTTTGCGGGCTGCTGGAAAAAGAAAGGAAGGCAGAGGATTCTTGCGCTGTAGAAGCTGGGGTCGGCAGCAGACCTTAGGACGTGGCCTTACTGAGCTTCTTAGACAGACAAAAGTCATGGGAAATCTCTTAGTTTTGTGAGGCAAGGAATGAGGTCTCAGCAAACAGCAAGAAAATGTTCCAGGAACATTAGTGCCTTTGGCAGATATCAGCAGGAGGCCACAAACATTCACCATGAATAATGTGATTTAACTTTTCATTTGTCTAGATCACCCATGCAAAGGTCAGCGACTCTGGCACGTACCTCTGCTGTGCCTCCAATACCCACGGAGAGCACTGGACCAATGCCGTGGATATCCACATAGGTGAGCAGAGCCAACCCACGTCTGCTTTGCTGCAAATCACCTTCTAGCGTGAAAAGCAGTTAGAGGACAGACCGGAATTTAGTATTCTTGCCTGGAAGCGCCGGGCTGGTGAAAAAGGAGCACAGTGCTGGTGTGTTACCCTGTGGCTTAATTGGTGCAGGGGTAGTAGGATGCGTGGCTCTGACACTTGCACCTTTCCCCAGTTTGAGTGGATCTTGCACGCTTTTATTAACAAAAAGAAAGGCCATTGGTTTTAAATACCGCTTCTGCAGGGGAGCTGAAGGTAAGCCACTTCAGAGTAGAAAAGCAGCATGGGGCTCTGCAGGGAAGCTGGAGCGTCCTGGCATTCC